AAAAAAAAAAAAAAAAAAAACCTGCCATTGCTGCTTTTCCATCTTGAAAAGTAGAGTGAAAGTATCTGGGCTTCTCCTGTGATAATATAGCTTACTGGAGCTGAACTGGAGCAGATGCATCTAAAGGTCAAGCTGCATAGGTGGAAAAGACAAGACATTTCCCAAAGCATGTACAAATGCGGGAGCTTTAACACTGCAGCACATTTAGCATTCCAGACGAACTCAGTAGGATGCAAATCTGTCCCACTGGTCCCCAAGGGAACACGTTTCAAAATCCAGTTACAGAAACGGTTCCTGAATACCATTTTGAACACCAGTTTATCTTTCTGAGAGAGAAAGAAGAAAGTGTCATGGCTACCTAAAAGGAAACTATGGAAAAAAACAGGTGTTTAGGGAAGATTTTACCTACATTAACCTTTCTGTAAACTGGCTTGCTTGGGATGAGATTCCAGTTCAGATAAATGCATTCCCCATCCAAATCCAGTTAAAAATAAAGGCAATGTCTGCAAGAGTCACCTGGCTAGACAGCAGAGAGCCTAGGTAGAAGGAAGGATGTGTTTTCCCTGGGCAACATTTTACCAGCAGGTTTGAAAACACGACAAAACCCATGGGATATGACACTTGCCCTCAACCCATCCAGGACACCATGTCTGCAGCATCAACTTGACGGGATATTAATGCAAGGCATACTAATAGAAACCCATGCTTCAGGTTGTAGAGAAGGGGCTTTGGTTGCAGGCAAATGGGCTGATTAAACTAACTGAACAAAAGACACAACCTTTCAAAACTTGGTGACCTGCTCACGCCTTCTATCGTGCAATGAAGATACCAATTACAAATCCCCTTCTCAGAAATAGTCAACTCTCCTGACCCCAAACTGCTCTTCCCAACCTCCACTTGTTCTTTTCTTTTTGCTTTCTGGGTTAGTATTACCAGAAATTTCAAAACTAGGTTCTCTGGAGGACTTTCCCAGCACCTCAGAGGATACACACAGCATGTGCACTCCCACCCTAGCTGAAAGCAGGTAGGGTGGAATGACAGCTCCTTAAGAGATTTCTTGTTTCCCATTAATACACTGAATTAAACAGGGAGCTTGAGACACCTTTCAGTCAACCATCTTCCAGCTTTCAGTCTCATGATATCTCTATTCCACAGCACAAGAGTTGGACCAATTTCAACTTTCAGAAGAGCTGAAAGTTGAGCTGCCCATAGTACCCCTACAATTGTCTCTATAATAACTGATGGCACCATTAGAGTCTAATGGTCCATCTGCAGTACTAGGCAGTGTGTGAACAGGCAGATCAGCTCTCTCCTGAAGTGCACACAAGCACTGATTCCCCACAAGACTTTTGACAGTAGGTGGGATCCAAATTTATCTTGGAAAAATGGGAAATATCCCACCTTCCCTTTTTGGGAAGGAGGCAATCAGCAGGAGGAGCAGCACATTTTCCCCCACACATTTCTGAAGATTAAAGTTGAAGGAACTTCAAGATTAATGAAGAAGAATTAATGTTGAATGAAGAAGATTAATGTTGAAGGAAGGAAGGAAAATATCTCCGCTATACACCAATTCCGACAGCATGTTTCCTCTTGAGCTCGGAAGGGTAAATAAGGCTTGGTGTAAGAAGCTGGCTTCCAAGAGGACTCAGGTGAACCCCTAGGGCAATGCAACAGTATCTACTTCCTTTTTGAGGTGCTCTGCCTTCTATTTCACATAAAACCCCATATCTGTCCATAAAAATGTGTCCCTGACATGACACATAAAAGCAGCAGTTCAGTGGTCAAATCTCTCTCCTCTGCATGCATACGTTACATGTCTGACACAGTCTGGTGCAATCCAGAAGGAAAGGTGAGCTCTTACTTTTACCAGCAACTCAATTTTACAGCTGCCAGTAACTTCAGCAAGAATTTGAACTTAGCTGCATGAAATGAAGAGTCAGCCTTTAAACTGTCAAGCTGTCGATAACTGTGATTATTCTTCAGGGACAATTCAGAAATGATTGGGGAGAAGACACATTAGCCCAACGTGCACATATTTCGCTGACGTGATTCAAGCTGCACACTAAAATATTGACTGCTGCTCTAGCAAACAAATTTCTCCTGCTGTGAAGAAACATAGGCAGACATGAGTAGATGGTCATCCCATTGCAAGACTTATTCTGTGTAAACATTGAATGGAAATAACACTGAGTAGTATGAGGTTGACACCAAAATCAAGACACTTTTAAGGCTTTCACCAGGTAGGCTTCAGATACCTCCCAGCCCCACAGCAGAACAAACAAAAATTTTATTTAACAGAAAAGGCTTGGCTTCTAAGTAAATTCCAATGCTGTTTTTCAGTTCCTAACTCTTAAGCCTAGAACACCATCCAATGCCAACAGCAACCAAGTTGTTTACAAAAGAAAGTCTGGTATAGTATCAAAAAGTCTACAGCCATGAGGAAGCTCTCATGTTTTCCCTGCTTATTAATTAGTGGTATATTTCTTTTATCACAAGAAGAACATTTGCTGGCCAATGACCCAATAGTGTCTTCTGGCAAAAGTATGAAATGTCAACACTTTTTCAAGTGACCAACAGAATACACACGCATTATTTTAGTCGAGTGTCATACAAGGAGCTAAAGAGAAGTCACATCAAGTGCAGACAGAATGCATGAAGTATAGCATAAGGCACAAAGACAGCATGCAGAAGGTATTTTTATTGTATTTTTCCCTAAGGAGGTTGGAAGGACGAACATCTCAGCAGCTTTCAGGTTCACTCGACGTTCTTGTACTTTGTGAACAGGTTGTACAGAACCCTGAGTGTAGACTTCAGATCTAGGTTGACAACATCTGTTAGAAAGGAAAAAAAAAAAAAGGAAAAATTCTTAGTTCTTCATTTGCTTCTAATTCTCCCTCCTCGTTTGCCCTCAAAGGAACAAAAGCCTTCTCATCTTTGAGCCTGTAGGAACAGCAACAGAAAACCCACAGAGGTGCAATCTCAAAAGTTAAGGATTGTAACGTGTCTGTATGGTGCGCGTCGAACCTTTTCATGATACTGCAGTCACAACTAACTTTCTCTGGGCAACTGGAGAAGAAAGTAATTCCTATCTTCCCTTCCCCATCCATATCTAGTCACAGAGGAGGCCTGCTTCTGCCTGAGGCCCAGGAGAAGGGCTTTAGAAATGCTCGCTCCTGGCAATAACATCGTGAGCGTCGCATCATCTTCGGAATTTGCACAAATGGCTGCACTAGCTGCAGAAGAAGCAAAAATGTAACTGTAGCCATCGTGTGGCACTGAACCCCATGTGCCAGCAACTCTGCAATCCTGCAATTCACAAATAAAAACGACCTAAATTATCCCCAAAGCTTTCTATTAACTAATAATTTTCTAATAATATTACCTAGTAACTCTTGCCATTCTAGTCCAGGGAACAATTCTGGCAGCTCTCAACAAAAGGTTTTTTACTAGCACCTCCCATCCTATAATAAAATATCAGGAAATACCAGAAACATGTAAGCCAGGGACTGCAGGGGTGGGGAAAAGGCAAAACACAGGGAAAGCTGAAGAGGGGAAAGGAAATGGTAAATAGATAAGGAAGGAGGAGGAACTGAAAATACTACACTATCTATGGAAACAGCATTAAAAAGAAAAGATTATAAAAATCACTCAAGGAAATAGGATGATAGCAAACAGTGAACAGACTATGTGTAATTAATGTGAGGCCCAAGCAAAACACCTACTGCCTGTTTTGAAAAATCACTGCCAGGACCTCCCTGCCTCTCCCTCTATCCCATGCTTGATTACAGTCTATAACCCCCCATTTCAGCTGATATTTTCAGTCATCTTCCAATATGTTCTGAGTTTTTTACTGTGTCATTTTCTCTTTCTTTTCTACGTTACAACAGAACCTTCTGCTGTGCCAAAAAAAGATTGTAAGTGCTGTGAGACACCTGTGCTCCCTGAAGAAAGAGGTAACTATAACTGAACTACAAAATACACTTCTGAGTTTTCCAGGCTTTGTGGAAAGCTGCTTACTCTCACAGCGCTCCCAGTAAGATAAAAGCCTGAAACGGGCAGGATCAACGTTGGCCCTTTTATACCTTGGCCCAGTTGCCTCAGAGATTGCAAAAAGTACATTTAGCCACGGGAAACGTGCTTTCCAGCAGCTCCCCGCTCTAGAACTGGCAAATGAAGATGAGTATCTGGAGCAGAGACATCCACAGGCAAGTTTGACCACTCTGATCTGTAAAACACTTAAGCAAAACAGTAACAAATTCCAAATGAGGAAGTAAAGGCCAGGGAGCACTAAACATTCAGGGATCTTGGGGTATCTGCCCCAATTCGTTGTCTTTTCTCCCTGGTCCCCATCTCTCCCTGAAAAGCAAAATGAGGCTTTTCCCTGAGCAGCACCTTGTGCTGTGATCAGGTCTCGCAGGGTGTCTTGAGACCTTCTAATGCCTCTGAAACATCAGGTAGCACCGTGGTGTGAGCTGCCTCCTCCCTGGGGGGACGAGGTAGGGGTCCCTATTGATCCCAGTGTCTAACAGGCATTCCCAGGAATAAGCATGATGCTCATCCTCCCATTCCTTATTTGAAGATGAAACAAGCGCACTTGTAACATTACCAACAATAACTAATAAAATGTTAACTGAAAATAGTTATAAATCACCAAAGTAGTTTAAAATATTCCATTAATTTACAACTTTCACACTCCATCAGAATTCCTGGTGGGCTAATAAATCACTCCATTAAAGTGTACTCCTGCTGTAATAATTCAGCATTCAGTCCTGCCACTGGCTCCAGCTACTAAATTGGCCTGGAGAAACAAGGATCTGCCCTGTATGCTCCTATTTTTGTACATCACTAGTAGGAAGATGCACTGAAATATTAACCAAGACCTGTTGCTTGCAAGCAATGCAGAAAGTATAGGCTATAGAAAGAAAACTTGCAAATTCTGGCGTTATGCAATGTTTGAGATGAAAAACCTACAGCAACTAATTCCCAATTTCCACCGAAGGGCACAGATCTACCTAACATGTTTTCCAGCCCGCTTAGGATGGAAAAATAAAACCCAGCTGCAGACACAGAGGATGCCACCCACAGAACCTTTTGCCAAAGCAGTTCTTGAAGAAGAACAGTCTCTCCTAGAGGAAATGCTGGTCCCATACGCAACAGGAGCAGGCGCGCTCCAAAAGCTGGGAGCTTCCGCCAGCGGGAATGGGATCACACACAGAAGAGGAAGGAAAACATCCATGAGGCTGAACATCCTGCAGCAGCATTACACAAACAGGACTGTTTTGTTAGCCAGCTTGGCTTTCTAACTTTTATTAATAATTACATTTTAAATTAATAAAACACTTGAAGCTGCACATCTCCAAGCCAGTCATAACAACGGTGATACCCTGCTGCTCAGTGACTCCACACACCATGTCTGGAGCAAACCAAACACGGTCTGCAGCAGTGTTCAGTCAAGGTAGGGCAAGGGTGTACACAACATGGCTTTACAGGGAGGTTATCTCCTCTGTTAGATCAACTGGCAGGCAAAAACAAAACAAAGGGGGAGCTTTCAACTAGACAGGTCATCTTCTAGGCTTTTGGTGGTTTATCTGGGCAGGCTTGTCTGGGCTCTTATTAACGTTGTCTCTTACTACAGTTTTTCTAACTCCTTGACTCAAAAAGTTGCAGTTTCTGATCCTGTATTCATGTTTCTCCAGTTCCCTTGTCCTCCTCATAAATCCATGGAAGTAGCTCCAATAGTCAAAACATTCCCCCAAATTTGGTCTCCCAAGTTAGTGTCTTATTTCACTCCATTCTTCGCCAGTAGCACTTTTCACCCCCAAAACTTAGCACAGCAGCACTGACAAGATACACACATTTAATATGGTGCCTTTTCCCCAATACAACCAGCTTCATTATTGGGTAATCCATTTACTGTTGTCATTTTACGTCATTTTAAATCAGAGTGATCATTCCTCATAAGCCCCTTGTTTTCTGTTTGTTCTGTGTAGCATCTAGTAAGCACGTAGTTTGTACCACCAACAATAAGAACTGATCATCTGGCTCGCTGGAAGTTTTAAATGCCTCCTTCTAGCCCCAGCACGAGCAACACTGCAGACATCATCACTGGTTTCAAAAACTGAGTTTCAAAAACTGAGGTTTTAAGGGCAAAGCATTAGCTCTTACACAATTCATTTCTGACCCCAAGGGCCACATACACCAAGAAGAGAGTTTGCTACCACTTCTCCTAAGTATAAGAAGAGACTTTCAATTATCTGTCGCTTCAATGTGCTCATGAGAGTCCAAACCAGCTCCAGGTGTAACAGTGATAGGATTTACAGCCTGAAAAGCTTCCTACCAGGACTGTAACTAGGAATACGACCTAACTTTATAACATAGCACTGCAAAGCTCTTGAACGAAAGCTAGTTGTACATCTTGGAGGACCTATTCCAGAAAGAACCACAGGCAAGGACATGTCACACCGATAATCAGATTGTCGTGATCAGCAGTGCTGAGTCCGGTTGGAGGCCTGTAATTAGCAGTGTCCCCCAGGGATGAATCCTCGGTCCAGTCCTGTTCAATTTATCCATCAACGACCTGGATGAAGGGCTGGAGTGCTCCCTCAGCAAGTTTGCCGACGATACCAAACTGGGTGGAGTAGCTGATAGCCCTGAGGGCTGTGCTGCCATCCAGAGGGACCTGGACAGACTGGACAACTGGGCGGCGAGAAACCTCATGAGGTTCAACAGGGGCAAGTGCAGGGTCCTGCACTTGGGGAGGAATAACCCTGGACACCAGGACAGATTAGGCGTGGACCTGCTGGAGAGCAGCCCCGCAGAGAGGGACCTGGGTGTCATGGTGGATGACAAGTTGACCATGAGGCAGCAGTGTGCCCTGGTGGCCAAGAAGGCCAACGGGATCCTGGGGTGCATTAAGAAAAGCGTCTCCAGCAGGTCGAGGGAAGTGATCATCCCCCTCTACTCAGCCCTGGTGAGGCCCCACCTGGAGACTGCGTCCAGTTCTGGGCTCCCCAGGGCAAGGGGGATGTGGAGCTGCTGGAGAGAGTCCAGCGCAGGGCTACCAGGATGATCAGGGGCCTGGAACATCTGCCCTGTGAGCAAAGGCTGAGAGAGCTGGGCCTGTTCAGCCTGGAGAAGAGGAGGCTGAGGGGGGACCTGATCAGTGTCTATAGATACCTCAAGGGAGGCAGTGAGGAGGAGGGGGCGGCCTCTTTTCTGTGAAGCCAGCGACAGGACTAGAGGAAATGGCCACAAATGGAAGCACCAAAAGTTCCACAGGAACTTAAGGAAGAACTTTTTCACTGTGAGGGTGCCAGAGCCCTGGCACAGGCTGCCCAGGGAGGCTGTGGAGTCTCCTTCTCTGGAGATCTTCAAAACCTGCTTGGATGCAGGCCTGTGTCCCATGCTCTAGGTGATGGTGCTGGAATAGGATGGTTGGACTAGATGATCTCTAGAGGTCCCTTCCAACCTTAAGCATTCTGTGATTCTGTGCCTGTGCTCTAGATGACCTGTGTGTGCAGGGGGTTTGGATTAGCTCATCTCTAAAGGTCCCTTCCAACCTTAAGGATTCTAAGATTCTTTGATAATGAACCCTTTAGAAAGCTGTCAATGTTTGCACTAGCAGATCCTCTTTGTGACTCTACTTTAATGGAGCTTCACCCAAAATGTAACTGCTATCATATCCTCATACACAATTTAAAACCACATGTCATATCCATACCTTCAGGGCGAGCTTTTGGTTTCTTAAGTCCTCCATCTTGCATCAGCTCAAAAGCAAAGGAGACATTATGGACCTGAAAAAGGAATACTGTTCAGAGTTCCAAAGTAATATAGGCATTAAAAAAACTTTAAGCAAATAAAAAGAATTCTTTATTCTCCCTCCCCTTGACACATAAAATTATAATTGAATTTAAATCTATAAGAGATATTTACATGTTTGAGCATGGCAGAAAGTATTGTGAGAGAGTAAGAAATAAAAGATTATATAATTATTGATCATTACCATTATTATTGTTGTATTATTCATTTTTGATACACTGAAAGATTTCCAATTTTTGAGTGTAAAAAGTGTGACTGGATATTGCATAAACTGAGAAACCTCATTAGGCTCCAGCAGAGCCTCTACAGTGGAGGCTGGAGAGCTCCCAGTAAGAGATGGAAGAGACCTTCAGACTTCAAGCTAGTCATAACTATGGTCCCAAGGATTAAGCCACCATGAATGTGAAGTCACAGAGAAGAGACAAAAATGCAAGGTGAGGTTAAGAGCAGATCCCTGTTGAGGAAGGTACTTAGGGTTGAAAAGAAAAATCTGCCCCACAGATTTCTTTTCCATGCTGACTGAAATTTAAACAAGATAATTTGGATTATGAATCCTGTGCGTTTTTGTTCCTGCAAATGACAGGACTGAAGATACATAGTAAGGGCAAGAGATTTAATTAAACCTACTCATCTTGGAAGTCAGGAAGTTATACATAAAAGCTCCCCTGCAACAAGATGAAGAAAGGCCCTTTTCACTGACATTTAGTGCTTGGGACTTTATTCATCTCTCCTGCTCCAGCTTCTCCTCACTCACTGTGACAAAAACAATTACTTTCAAGATTTTTTTTTCCCCTCCACAGAATCTATCTCAGTTACTCACTTGCATTTACATAAACCCTCTCCTCACAGCAAAGACTCCTCACAATAGCGCTACACTGCTTCGGGAATGCTGGATAACCCTTATAATTTTTTACAGTTAACAATAAAATCGTGACTGAACAAGCTGGCTACAGCTCAGCATCCTCCATGTCCACGAGGGGGAAAATTTAGCTCACTATGACAAACAGAACTGTAACTGAGTCGTAATGGAGAGCTTATTCAAGAGCTCATAGGTAACTGCTTTCCCACTGCTCTACAAAGTTCCTGTCAAGTATTCAGTATTCAAAATGAACTAGTCCCCACACTATGCACACACTTAACACAGAGAGAAGCCTCTCTCATCACAGCCTGATCTCTTGTATTCAAGGAGCTCTCAAATCACAACCAGTAATTAACCAAGGAAGGCAACTACCCTGTATAACCCATGGTCCCCCATGGATTTGGTCATGATAAGAAATATGCTGGCTGTGTTAAACACCCTTCTCATCATGAACATTAGGAAGTGATATAGGAGAGTAGAACAAGTGTGGGGCTAAGAACAAGATGTTTCTTTTCTCCCCTTCCATACTTAATGCCCTGACTCTAAGACTGCAAGGAATGCACTCCTTTTCCTCAAAGCTGGTTTCACCTGAAGCACTGTAAGAAAGCAAGTAGTTCACCCTCACCAAACACAAAGAACTAACTTAAAACGAGAAGCTAGAACTTGGTCTCAAAACACGGAGTCAGCAATGCTGGCAGTGCTGCTGCCACCAAGCCAGATCTCTGTGCTCTCAGGTTGACTTCAGAGAGGCAACTGGCTGCAGGCTCCTTCCCTGGCAGCACCAGGTCTCCCTCCTGGCTCTGGTCAGGTATGAGGCATGTTACCTGTCTGCACTAACTGACTCTACTGGCTGTAACCCCATTCCAGCCAAGACCATGGCCTGGCACCTACTGCTCCAGCATCTCATTTACACATCAAGTAGAGCTATTTATTCACTTAGTTTATAATTACATTAAGGAAATTACATAAGAAAGATCTGATGACTGCTAGGCAACAGATACTCTTGGGATCAGAGGTTACTTTTGAGGACTGACTTATTCTGTGACACCTCCTCCATCCCCATGTCAATCCCAGCGTAAGGAATGGGGATTAAGCACAACTTCCCATCGCTCAACTTTTGCCTGTTTACATAATAAATTCTGGGCGAGATCAGGCTTCAGCTCTCATATCTAGCACAGTAAGGCACCCAGAGGACTTCAAGCAGCACTGCAATTTAAGAAAACACTTAAGTAAATAAATCACTTTGATTGTGCAAAGCTCTAGATAGTACTTACTGATTTATTCCTTCCATTATGTACCACCTGATGAAAAACAGAATACCTTTCTTGCTTAACTACCTGGGATTTAGCCCCTGATTTCACAAATAACTTCTGGATGTACAAATTCCATTAACAACCAAGCAACTCAGGAAGTGCACCTTTGCTGCAGTTCCTGAAGAGACAGAAATGCCAGGCTCTGATTTAATGTGCACAAAGAGAAGGGACCCAGTGAATGGAAAACACCATGTGTGGTACCAGAGCCAAAAGAATACGACCTGGAATTTGTACCTACCTTCTGATCAAAACTTTCAGGTGTTAAATAGAAGTTATGCAGCGGAACGAAGTAGTCTTCAAGGAGACCCATGAGCAATACCAAGTAAACACCATCTGCAAACTGAACAGAAATACTGATGACATTCTTAGGTGGAAGCATCTATTTTCAAGTAAGTATTCATTATCGAGCAGAAGAAAATGTGTGACCCAAACTAGTTACCTTGATTTCTACCACTTTTGTTTGTCAGCACGGAGATAGAAGCCAGCTCAGCAGGCACAGGCTGCTCCACTGAGGCTTAACAAGGAACTGACAGCAAGGGCAGCAGAAGCAGTTGGGGTTTCAGCTGTTTCCCAAATCCACCTATAATCTGTGCAATCACCAGTTCAGCTCAGCAGGCTGAATCTGCCTGTCCTATGTTGATAGAGCTGCTCTCTTCTCAGATTTAAAAAAGGAGAAAAAAAAAAGAAAAGATACCAGGCTTTCTCCCTACTTCTGGTAGGGTTATTTCCTATTTCCTAAATAAAACAAGGAAGTCCAACAGTTGAAACATTAACCCATTCAAGATCACGTGCTGATGACTATTAAATTATTTACAGACAGCAAACAGCTTTAAGCAGAAGAAACTATAGATAACTGGGAGCAATTTGTACTCCTTAGGGAGTGCACTGTATTTGGTCTGAATGAGGCAGCAACTGAAAACCAGATCCACTGTATCTCCAGTCAGTTTTATCCTATTTACAAGGCTCCTGAATACTTCAGGGAGAGGTAAAAGTGTCTATGTATGTTCTTGCATTTGCTCACATTCTTTTTCTTCAGAAATACTGCCAAATTCACCGCAGTTTTTCTGAATTAAAGCAAAAACAGACGTCCTAGGAAATTTGCTACCATGTAATATAGTTCCAGCTCTTCTGCAGTAGTACGTGGTCAAATACAATCCCTCTTTTAAGTTATGCAAGTTCAATTACAAATCTCTGTCCTTAATGAGAGCTTGAAATTAATTCACGTCACAAGTAGCCTTAACTTTCACAAGAAATTCTTATTTCACACACACACAAAAATTGTTCAAAGCCAAAACAGACTTTTTACAGGTTCAGTAAAACCTAAATTCTATACTGAATGCTTCCTGTAATATTGTTCAGTGTTCCCACCCAAGGCAGACAGATGACCTTCCTGGCTAGCTATGGGTGATGCTATATATTTCAAACCGAATTCTCACATGGTGCATTTGACATCCACTGTCCTTTTCAAAAAAAAATCGCTGTGGATACTTCCCTGGCAGTGTACAACCACTTCTTATGGCAGAATGTATCCCGGGAGAAGTTGCCTATTTGCTTCAGCAAAGCTACAAAACAGCAGTGAATGATTGGTGTTAGACTAAGCCAGAGTTAAGCCAATTGCTCACAGCCCAGGAATAATTCTCTACATGCCATGCTCCCCTCTCTGCCAGGATACTAGGATAACCATGTGTCCAAGATTCAGCAAACTTTGAAATGAGTATTTGTTTCCATCATTAAAACACAGCCAACATGGTGCAAGAAATCTGCGCGATTTGCAGATTTTGCGCCTGCAGGGTGAGAACTGCCCCAGTGCCACCAAAATTCACACTTGCTTGAGATTTCAAAGCCTGTTCACTCCCCTCGTCTGCTACGACCCTCTCCTACACTGCTATTCTCCTGAGTGAGAGACAGGGGACTCCTATGGCTGAGGTGGCCACCTGGGCAAGATTTAAACCAGCTACTTGGGCTGCCGAGGCCACTTGAGCCACTGCAGCACAAGAGCTCAGACCTGCTAAGCCAGGCTGCTGGAAAGCAAACACAGTACAGATGCTCCCCAGCAGGGACAGCAGGGTGTACAAGAGCACACGAAGGCTGTGCTGCAACCTCAAAATCGGTTCCAGCCCCTACTTTGATGTCATCAAAGGCAGCAAGGAGATCTCCACAATGAGCTGCACTCCGCTGTTCACACACCTTCAGAGAGCCCCAGGCAGCCAGTTAGGAGCAGCTAACCCCAGTTCGGTGTGAATCCTCACAGCAAGAAAAGACACGACCCATGAACCATCCAGAAGTACACCCAGAACTACCTCTTTGAGCCAGGGGACAGCCTGCCCCAGCACCCGGCCCTACTCCATGGTCATTAACATGAACATATTGGTTACTCCATAGTCTTACCTTTCAGAATGGAATGCAAAATATCAGCATTATATAATATGTGTAAGCATGAGCAAAGGAAGCCAGGACGAATGCATGAATTGCTACTTAAAAGACAAAGCTTCCAATCTCCTAAATTCATATACCCAAACCTAACCAGCTCCGTAACAAGGTTTTATGGGACAAGGCCTTGTATTTGTAATTTCCAATTGTGATTACACACAAACAAATCATGCCTCTTACCTGGGTTTCTAGCTCAGTTACTTCCAAATTCAGTTTGTTCAAGTGTTTGTTCACAAAGGTGATCAGAGACTACAAAAGAAAATGCCAGAATTAATGATGTTAGAAACTACAACCAGTGTCTATGTGAAAGGGTTAACATAGTCTTTTAAGGTATTTTCAAGCACAGTAAATATCACCATGAGCTTTTTGCTTTTGCATAAGTATACGAAACTGAAAACTCTGGAGTATACTCATATTTTGTGCAGCATATGGCAGAAGTCACCAGGTGGTGCTATTACACACTTTTTTCCAGCTATGTTTCCAGGCGCATTAAACATTACAGTGTTGTGGGAAAACTCTGTGGTGCCATCAGTTCTTTTTCAAGTTCTTTGCAAAGATGAAGCACATGTTAGTTGTGTTTAGTGGCTGCATGAATCTCTTTGGGCTCTTGGGGAAGAGGACTGGGAGCAAGGCATGACCAACCTGGAGCTGGGACTCCCAAAAGAAGATGCCAGCAGGGCAGTTTCACACTCCCCTCTGTGTCATGTCTGATTAGTGTGTACAAGCGAGCAAACTACAGGAATAATGTGGAATAACGTGGCCTCACTGGCTCTGAATTAGTTATCTTCTGAGGACACATTCCCTGCTATTATTTCAGAATTCTCTCTGCCATTGGACAGATGGTTTCTGGGCACCTTTCAAAGGCATAACAAACAAACAAAAAATAAACAAAAGGTGATTTTTTTTTTTTACCTTCTTGACCACGCTGAGTTTATCTGGTGCATGATCAAAGAGTGTGTCGAAGGCATCTCGCTCTGGTTTTACAAAAACATAGAAACAATGTTAAAAAAGAAATAAAGAAAACCAATACACCAGTAACAGCCAAGTATGGGTAGCAAGTTATGTGTCACATGCTTGAGGGTCTCTCTTCAAAAGCCACGTTACAGAGACTCAAAATAAAATTTTTCCCCTATTTTGGGAAATAAACTGGAAATTTTAGGAGTATCTGAAAATAAGCATCTCTTATCATTTTTCCTTTTTTGCCATTCATAATTTGTACACAAAATGTGCAGGTAAGGGAAAATTAAAATGAAACCATTTTACACCACGCTCCAATCTTAGCTTAAATAGTAGGCTACTAAAATGTCACCTTATTTCAATGCTCAGCAACAGAGCAATAATTATAGCTACATTCATGACAAGCCCTCAGCACCAAAATCAGATACGCGTACGTCAATTTTAAACTTACTGGTAGTATCCTCAATTTAAAATTCAAGCTTAAAATTCAACACATGAGTAAGACCTGATTCATCGACATGCTAGGAGCAAAGCCTGTATTTCTAACCCAATATACAGCACAAACTTCTAAATTACTGTAGAAGAGTTACACCTCCAGAGCACTTTGTAAAATACTTAATCCAATCTAAAATCTACTAAATTTAACATAGGAATGCAGTATTTCACACTGTGACAGTCTAGAACTGACTGAAATTTTCCAAATACCGAGGTTTTTTGGATGACATTATAAATTGAACCATCTTCATCAGGTAAAGCACACACACAAAGTCCTTGAACCATTTGCAATTGTGCAAAAACCAACTATCAAAACTATTGTTGGAAAACTGGGGGAGAGGGTTATAAGCCGTTAAAGAGTTTCATTACAGTTTTAACTGTTTTTCCATGTTCATATTCTTTTCATTTACAGAACATATTTTAGTATTTGCTAGGGTAAAACAACAGATACCTTTGGTGTCTAAGGATACGTTATCTATCTCCCCTGTACATTATTTATTTTTCAAATACTTTTTTACTCATTAATGCATTTATTTTATAGGGAAGGAAAATGACAGCTTTCGTGTATTAGAGCTGAGAAACAGAAAACTAAATGACTTGTTCATAGTCTCAGGGAATCCTTTAGAGGATCTCACATCTCTCAGATAAGTGGAAGTGATTTAATGCCACTAGCAAAACCAAGACAGAGAGAGCCAGGCTATGCAAAAAGAGAGAGAAATCTCTTTTTGCATACAAGCAACAACAAAGCTCTTGCTGTGTGTTTAAAAGACCATTTCTCTGGTTAATAAAATCCCCAGTGAGCAAGGAGGGGATAAGATACCTCATGGAAAGGAACTGGGAAAGAGAATAATTATGGCAGAAAGGCGACAAGCAGATGGAGCCTTCTTGGATGTTTTACCATATACCTGTGCTTCAATAATTTTCATTTATAAACTAACTAAATATTCACACTCTGAAGAAAGTGTAACTCTTATTGACATATGCTGCAAAAGTTTTTGCTTGAAAGACACTAATAACAGTACTAAGAAATACTGCTCTTTGTGCCAGCATCCACATCCATCACATATGAGTGAAAACAAATGAATGGAGACTAGTCCAGAGGGCAAAGGACAGGATGATCCAGCTTTACTTCTCCTGCTGCACATCTGAGTGCAGTAAAACACCTGCCCCTGCAATACACTCCACCTCTATGTAATTGCTCAATCCACTGTCTTAATCTGTCCAAGGAAAACAGACATAATTTCTGTGCCTGACATAAATCAAAAAATTTCAGAGTCAACTTTGTTACTTACCAAATCTTCCCATCATCATCCTGCAAGTCAGAGCATTCAAGAATACTAGGTTAGTTCATGAATAATCACGTTGAAAAGACAAGACCACGGGCTTAACGGGCCCCTTCCTGCAGGATGCCCAGGGCTATCCACTCCTACCCAACTAGGAGGCTGAGCATGTTGCAGACCAGACCCAACGTGCTGCTGCAGGAATGTCCAAGGCAGACCACCAGGGATATTATGAAGATGCATTTGAAATTAATGGAAATGCATATCTTACATGTTAAGTGTTTTTTATATAGTTCTTATGAGTTCTTACACACAATCATGCTCAAGAGTGAATCAACAAATATCTTTCTGTGTATAGTTTCCACAAGTAGAGTCAGCAGAGATTGCATCACACAGTTCAGAATGAGCAAGGCCAGGTATTATCTAGCCCATTTTCATCTGTTTTCTCTGAAGGAGGAAAATATACTTCATCTCTAGATGCTATGCAATTAATATAGCCACATATGAATCATATCCCTAGCCACTGACATCACCAGACATATGCAGATGATTATCAGCTGAGAACCAGCCCCTAATCTGCACAGCAAAATTTGGAAGTATTTAATAAAAGTTCTGCATTTTTTTGTACCTCTACTTACACTTGGGTATGCAACACATTAGCCTGTTAATATTGTATAATATTAAACAACTAAATAAAACACACGTATAAACCACATGCCTCTCTGTAAGCATCTTTCTTGCTAAAGATGTCCAAACCCCAGTGCATAGATTGCATCTGAGAAACCACATCTGAGGGAGAGGACAAGCTAAATGCCCCGTTCAAGAGCACAGCAGTGCAGGGAGGAATTTTAGCCCAACATACTGATCCTACAGAAAACACTATGAGATCTTTAATGTCCACACAGAGATGTTATGATCTCATTGCCGAACACTTCCATCTGAAAGATCTTCCCCACTAAGCACGCCACATGGTATTTCATTTATCTTCAAAGTCAGGAAAGATGAGCCAACTCTGCAGGGAGCCAATACTGATAAACTGAAGCAGGGCTCATGTAAGCCCCTTTAGAAGAGCTGCCTTCGGGCCACATGAAGCAGACTCTCAGCTTTTATTTGCAGCCAAAGTGCATGTCGAGCCTTTTCCTTGTTAAAAAATAATAACAAAAAAAAAAAAAAAAAAAAAAAAAAAAAAAAAAAACCCAAAAACATAAAGGCAAGTAAAGCCATTGCAAAAACTGTGGAGAGGCTTGTTTGTTTAATTTAGTTTTGCTGAGCTCTTTTCTTTCTCTTTCTGAGGTGCTATATGAAATAGGGAACATCTCTCGGCTTTTATGGGGTATCACTCCAGTTTTGAGAGGAATTTCAAGGAATTGTTTGATTATTCCCCCAAAAATCTACACTAATCCTTTGTTTGAGGCAGGCTATAGCATCAGGCAGAAATTGGTTATATTTGGCTATGCACAGAAAGGAAAAACAAAAAACCCACAAAAGTGACTCTCCGTGAAATACCCAGTGAAAAGTTCCGGTAACACAGGACTGCCAAGCCAGCTCATTTCTGCTTTGCAAAGCGTTTCCAGAAACAAAGTTGTTTCTGCATCCCTATAAAAGCAACACATGGGATTTAGCTTATTGAGCAGCAGTAGCGGGGAAGATCATGTCTCTGCAAACGATTTCACATCAAGCATCCACACACAGCCCAACACTGAACAGGAGGCATTTAGGGCTTACTCCGTCGTCGTCGTGAGCTCCTCCATAACATGCGTAGTCTGAAGAAGACCTTCACGTTTCTGGAAACCAAGAGGGAGATTTGTATTAAAGGACAGGCTCATTAGAGGTTCTGCAGCGCTCCTTGCATTTCGGCAACCCAGGGGAGATGTTGCATGAAATGTGCTGGCTAAAACCAAACTAAGTGTTTGCCAGCTCTGGTTTAGGTTCCCCAGGGATGTTGGCTCATCTTGTGGTATCAACCTGGAAGAACATGGACCGTGGCCCCCAGGTCCTTGGTGCCCTGGCAAGGAGCTCTGCGTGGGTAGGAGGCTCTGCTGGACTCTGGTGACTCTGCTCAATCACCCTCTTGTAGGCAGCGCATCAGCCAGGGAAACGTGGGGAGCACAAAAAAGCCTGACTAGCGATTTCACAGTGGAAATTATCTCCCTTTTATTGGTTTTTCTTTCCTCGGGTGATTTTCTGCGTCAACTCTTCTACCCAACAGAGAGATAGCATCTGATGAGACTCCACTTCAAAACAGTTTTCTCCCGGCTCTATTAAGACACAGCCCTGTAACAGAGGTAGGACTAAATGTTTCGGAGCCTTTCCAGAGTTTCGGAGATACGGCTTGTGCCTCCCACTGGAACCAGAAAGTACATTTACGTGATTCCCAATCTTTTTTTAACATGTCCTTTCACTGGGTGTATGGATCCTTGCTGCCTGAAAAGGGCAATTTTCCCTCCTTTCTTCTCCAAGCTGAAGGCACTGTCACCGAGAGCTCAGCAGCCATCCAGGAGCAAAGGGCTCTCAACACGGCAGCGTGTAGTTAACCAGGAGAGCTGCCAGCTCTGGTGAGCAGCAAAGCCACCCCCACCAGGTACTACCTCTTCATCCATCTAAATCATCTTCCCCAGCTCAATCCCAAGCGAGAACAGCTTTGAAGAGAAACACATCCTTCCCCAGAAGCCCCGGACAAAATAAAGATTTAAACCTAGAGTTAAGGCAGCAAGAATCCCTTCCAACTCCTCTTTCCAAACTCCAAAGGCAGCCTGGCTTTCCCTGGCCTAAAGCACAGTGGAAGCTGTTGTCTCCCACCGTCCTGTGCCCGCTGCTCCTACCAGCGCCCGGCCCTGCGCGAGGTCCAGCCCGCTGGCCACGTCTGCAGATGCCTCTGTTCCCTATCACACACACATTTAGCTCTGCTCTCCCATGGCCATCGTAGGATCTGTGCCAGGAGGCTGGCTAAAACAAGCCAGGATGACAGCGGGCTTGGAAAAATAAGGAAGATCTCAAGCGGCAGCATTTACTTCAATACAAACCAGTGTGGCCCTGATCCCATTCCATCCAACCTCGGCTCTGCAAGCAGGCGGTTCTGCACCTTCCAGGGAACATGTCCTTCAAGGGGAAGGGGCTAAAAAACCATGAGCAAAAAACATCCTCTTGAGAAGAAGGCCTCCAAATACTTGTTGAGAAAGGACGGATGTCAACACCGTGCCCCAAGGGGCAGAAATGGCAGCAGTTTTCTCTGTAGCCCCTAAGCAGCAGCTGAGCCTGCTGCTCTTACAACAAAGCCAAGTCCCTCAGCTTTAAAACCCTCAAAAAACAAAAAACAAACAAACAAAAAAAAGAGTAGTTAATAAAACTCTGATTTTCCACACTATCATCACCAGAGACATTTATTCTGCCCCTGCTTTGCCTCTGACCCTGCAATCCGCAATTCAGACTTGAAGAGAATTACCCAAAAATATCTCTGACTTCCCAGGGGCACCAAGGAAGCACACATTGCAATTTTAAAAATTAGGAAAAGGTAAGTGCAGAAGACAACCATTCCTGAAGCCTGTAAAAATAACCGACATACATAAAAACTGCTTTAACAATTTTTCCACTGATTTCCAATAATGCTTTTGCCTTCCCGAATCACTGTTGGGCATTCACATGCTGTAAATTCATGTTTCAAATATCAGGAGGCAGAATCAGCTGGTAGAAAACCTCAGGATATTCAGTTATCACTGGAAGTAGACACTGAAACCACAAAGTTTATCCCTCCCTGCCCTAACTGAGGAAGGCTGAAAGTGCTGAATGACACAAGTACTAAAACAAGTAGGATCTTCGCCTCTTAATTCAGCACTGTGGCTATCTATAAGATCTTAAATAAAAGACTCACCTAAACCCTCGCTCTACTAGGTCACTTCATATTTAACTTGGATGCATACTGCTGTGCTTAAAACAATGGATTTTAATCAAAAAACCAAAATCTAGCAACATAGGAAAATCTTAAGTCTAGCAGCCGAGAACCAATCAAGAGTCTTGAGAAATGGCAGAATTTCAGAAAAGGGCAAAAAAGTCACCTGTCTTTGGAGAGCTCAATAAATAATTCCCCAGGGCTTTCATAGTTATCATTCCATTTTACTAGGGAGGTCACTGAAGATCAGAAAAGAAAAAGTTCCTAGCACTTATTCAAACTAACAAGGCATTCTGCATTGTTCTGACACGGCCTATGGAAACACACGCGCTAACCTGGCGAAGCAACCAGCTTGTTAAGCAAGGACACCTCTGGCATTTCCATACTGTGAGCACCTGCCTTCTGGGCAAGAAGCTGCACAACGTGCCAGCAGCTCCACATACTGGCATTGATAAATCCAAGTGCCCAAGTCTCCCATGAAAGTGAGACTTCACTGATGATGAAAATTTCAGGTTTTTCCTGCAGAGCTTTCTGGCTCCTGGGTCAGCTCTGCAACTCTGCAAAGAAGCCACTTTTATACCCCGTTGATTAATCCCTTTAAATGCACATTCAGACAAGCAGAGGCACTTAAACTAATACTTCTCAGATAAAATACCCTAAATTTATCATGATCTACTTTAGCGGAGACATAATCATGCCCAGGATATTTAATAATAGATCCTCTAATAATAATATCGATAATAATTATCTACTATATAACAGATTTCTTATTTGGATTAGGAATAATGCCAGCTCATTGCCATTCTTCAGTCTGTCATTAGGATAACCAAGGCCAAAATTCATTCAGAGAGATCTGTGTTACTGAACCAGCATGTATTTTCATACTAGATGATGGACGCTGAACTACACAAAATCCATTTATCAAACTGCAAGGCAAAGATCACTGGCCCATGAATACTGCAGAAGAAACATGCTTCAGTTTATACTACGCCTTGACTTCCTTTAAATAAAAATAAGGTGAGGAGTTGCAAGCTCTGCCTAGCAGTGAGACAGCAGCATTGAAACAAGCCCCATCTTGCATGGGTCCAGCTAAGGAAGGGCCACAGCCAGCAGCAGTCACAACCACCTCCAAGATGCCAGGTTCTACTTGGTGTCTTGTGCTGCCTATTAACTTACCTTGTATTGCTGCTCTGACACCTTTATCCTGTGGGGATATGGGAGCTGCTATTTCTTTCTTTCCCTAGTTTCTGTCAGCCTTCGTCTCCCCCACCCTCATCTCAGTCATGCCTCATATCAAGGCTCAGAGACTCTGGAGAACCAGGTGCTCTCTTTAGGTGTCTTCTCACAAGCCCTGAAAAGTGACAGCACGTGAAGCCACCTTCTCCACAGCCTTTGCTCCACCACAAGGGGATGTTTAGGAGCTGTAAACTACGGACAGGCAAAGGAAAACACCCCCTCTCTTGGTCATTTCTTTTTTCCTGACATATCACAGGCCCAGAGGGTATTTCACTCTACTGGGCAGACAGACAGTTCCAGTATGAGGGGGTTGGAGGATTGTCGATCACTTTATATATATTTTTTTTTTACCCACATCCTTCTAAGATAATCAAAAAAATAAATAAATCTTCTCTTCTTGTTCAAGCTGCTTTATGCCGAACTCACAGTTCTTAAAATGAAAGAATTACTTGACTAAAAGCAGCTCAAAAGCATTCAAAAGATAATGCATACACTTCTTGTGAGCTACAGAGTATCCCTTACTTACCCACTTCTGCCTCTAGAGCACTCAGGCAGGCAGCCTGGAAACCATCATCTAATTTAACAAGAAATGAGGTTTGCTTCATCAACCACCACGCAATCGCATCACCTAAGAGGATTCGCATTGGCGAAACAGAGTTTGAGACCATTTTATCTTTTTTGTTCTTGAAAGGAATCCTGCTTAACCACACACCAGCCCTAACAGCAACAGAGCCTGTCTGGCAAAATCAGCACTGCCCTGTCACGGCATGACCCGGAGGGCGGCCAGCTGGAACAGCTCTGCCTACTATTTCAACGGCTGTGTGGGAAAAATAGGTGGCTTCACATGCTACAGACAGCACCACTGTGGAAGTCTCTGCTGGGAAAGAAGGCGAGATAAAAAGCTGGGCTTCGTAGGCTCTGGAAATAGTGTCTGCAGACTGAAAGGAAATGGTCAGCACCAAGCAGAGCACGGAATAAATATGGCAGTATCTAGGGCAGGAGACAAGAAGTCAGGATTTCTCAGGTCAGATCTCTTCTATGTAACTAATAAAAGCTAAGAAAAACTTGTTGCTTGGAAAGAAATGACAAAGGTCACCAGGAACACCAAGGAAAACGACATGTCAAAGTTTAAATAACACCTCTTTAAGGGAAAACAACATCAGCAACAGAATTTCCAAATGAGAAAGGTGAGAAAGGCTGAAACTCCTCCCTGTACCATTTGTGTTTGAATGGCTTCCTTACAAAAAAAAAAAAAAAAAAGCATAAATCACTAAATTGCCAAGCTAGAGACACCACTCTCTCTGTTAGCTTGATTTTCAGAATATTTAAGGTTGGAAGGGACCTCTACAGATCATCTAGTCCAACCTTCCTGCTCAAGCAGGCACACCTACAGCATGTGGCACAGGGCGGCATCCAGGCGGGTTTTGAAGACCTCCAGAGTAGGAGACTCCACACCCTCCCTGGGCAGCCTGTTCCACTGCTCTGTCACCCTAATAATTGATTTATTTGAATCATAATAAATGATTGATACTGCAGTAGCAATCAGCAATCCCAACCATATTAAGCACACGATATTCTCAGGGCCATCCTTGAATATGAAAGAAGCTGGGTTGCCAGGCCCAGGATTTCCTAAGCAACCAGGACAAGCATCTTCTAACCCCAGAAATGCAGAGGGAGGGAAGCACGGTGCAAAAGGAGCCCGATAACCAGGGGTGCTCTGCTCACGCTCTCGGACCCGTTCGTACTCACCCGCACAACCACCACTTGTACAGACACGTGCTCAGGCAGCCGAATGGGAGCCCGGAAATGCATGGCCAAAGCCACCAGCAGGTGAAGGATGGAAATGAGATTCTTGCCATGGATTGCTGCAGGGAATGAGGGAAAAGAAGTGAAAATATATTGAAGCCTTCTTTTAAACAAACAGCTCTGGAAGAAAAAATAGACTCTGGAAAAGGTCTACAGTAAGCATGGTCTTCTGTCTTTCCTTTTTTCCTCCTTTTCCTCAATTAATAAAGCTTATAAATTTTACAGGCAGTAGTTTCTAAACTTAATCCTGTCTTCATGTTACCTACCTAACTTAGGAGAAATTTCAGCTCCCCCTCTAGACAATGAAGAAGAAGAGCTGGACTTGAGCTCTCCTTCCACTGGAGGATACTGCAAAACTCTGGTTTTAGCAGAGGTAGGAAGTGGGAGCGCAAGCTCAGTTGTTTGCGAGAGATCTATGACCTGCATGAAGGGACCTCTCTAACTCCCTTCTAGCTTGTGGCACCTAGAGGGTCACTCTGGATCTGAGCGATCCCATATCCTTTTGCTTGGATTTGTCAAAGGCTGCAGCTGTAGGCAAGCCCTTGCCTCTCACTGCAGTGGCCTGAAGGCTTTGACCATCCTCTAGTAACCAAATGTCTAACAAATTCCTCATAACCATAGGAATTCAACTTTAGGAAGGAAACAGAAGCCATTTTAATTACAGCATATGCTTAAGGGAAAACTTCCTTCAATTATCCCATAGCCCTGCACATCTAGGGAAGCTTAAACGAGGATGACATGAGAAGGTATGAGTTACAACCCATACATGGGTTTGATAACAGTCTGTGCACAAATAAATTAAAAAACAGTAGTGGAGCAGAGAGAAGCTGATCAACCTATTGATTACTACATCCTCCCGGTCGGGGAAGCCAAGAGGAGGCATCATAGAATCACAGAGTCATTATGGTCGGGAAAGACCTTCAAGATCATTGAGTCCAACCATAAACCCATCCCCATCCTGCCTGCTAAACCATGTCCCTAAGTGCCTCATCTGCACATTTCTTGAGCACTGCCAGATTGGTGACTCCACCACTTCTCTGGGCAGCCTGTTCCAATGCTTGACTGCTCTTTCCATGTAGCATTTTTTCCCCAATGGTCAATCCGAACCTCCCTGGCACAACTTGAGGCCATTTCCTCTTGTCCTACGGGTAGGACAGGACATCCTTACAGTGAGCACCCTTAGGACATCCTTACAGTCCACATTCCACTTGATCGCCCAGCCGTGGGGCCGCAGCAAGTCGTGAACAGCCTCCAGCACCGTCTGCAGCTTCTGCTTCTGCCCGATCTCAGACTGCGTCACTTCTGCCACGTTCAGTTTGCGGTCAGCCAATTTTTCTGTACGGAGAGAAAGCAGCAACAAAAGAACAGGGAACATCAGATGGAACCACGGCCTGGGCGGGAATAGCGAGCACAGAGAGCCAGCCAGTTGGACCAGCCATGGCCACAAATTTTATAATAAGAGAGACTGCCCTCAGAAAACAAGTAGTTGAAAACAAACTTTTCAAAGTGTGTCAACTCCAGTAAACTCTGAAGTGGAGAACAGATAAGGTCTGGCAGAACATGCTCCTAATCACACTTCAAAATATGTAACTCGCTGATAGGCACCAAGTTAGCAATAACTGTGGTGCCTCCTGTTTTCCTTCACTGCTGAAAAAAATATAGTACAATACACCTTTTTCTCCACAAGGAATTTGCTCCAGCTTAATGGCCCTTTCTAAACATAGAGGTCAATCTCGGACAAAAAAAAAAAAAAAAACAAAAAACAAAAAAAAAAAAACCCTTTTTATGGACATTTTCTTTGGTCTAACAAGCTCTATTTCAGCTTAGCTGAAGGTCTAAATTTAAAGCAAAGTGTGTCTTCTGAAGGCCTCAAAGGAGTATCTACCCATAGATTCATACTTACAGCTTAGTGAAACCAATTTAAAGGAATAAGTAAACTAGTAGAATATCGATATGTTGTCAAGATGGTTATTTCCAAAGATGAATTCATGCTGAGAAGTTTGTTAAATGCCATTACAAAAAGCTGAGCTCTGTTTCTGTAATACAGTTATTTGTCTCCCAAATCATGCACTAATCATTCTTTTCTTCCTCCACACTGAGATCCTTGCCCAAGCCCCTGGAGCTGAATTTCTCTCTCAGACAGCGAGCTGGGGAAGGAAGGGCAGGGCAAAGAGCTCTCCAGCTGATCTCATTTCTGCCTCCAGCCTGGGGAAAAAAATGGTCAAGCTCACTGCGTTGTTGGAACTAGAAAGGTAGGGCTGGCTGAGCATATTCCAATTATATTATTATTACTGTTTTTAAAACATACAAAAGAAAACATACTTCACTGAAACCGTTTTCCCAAGGCAGGAGAGGCTTCAGCATTCTTTTAGGAACTTTTCAGAGCTGTCAGAACATGTTATTCCAACAATGGAAATACTTCTGCTCTCAAATTTAAGAGTATTTTGCTTTTGGACATTTTACCTGCATACAGGTATAAAAACCAGCAAACAAAAATACTTTTTATCACTCTAGAGTAGGATTTTTTTAAATGATACCTGAGAAGAATGAATGGAAAAAACTTTCTTTAGCCAAGACCTCCACGAGTCTTTTTTAATTGATTGCCAAGGCATTTAAATACAATTTTAAATGACCTTATTCTTAAAAAGAAAAAAATCTATCCTTGGTTATTTGTTACGATTCCTCTCTGTCCTCAGTGCTGATGTATTGCCAGGCACCAACAAGTAGCTGCTGATTTTCTCTCTCTTGTTGGTAACCAGTATTCAGAAGCCTGTGAATGTGCACCAAAACACTGCGGGCCTGTTAGTTAAGTAGCATACACAGAAAATTCAGTAAATAGCAGCCAGGAGAGCCAATGAAATCATCACCATTAAATCCTCTTGCCCCACTCTGACATACAGAGTTCATACCCCAGCCCGCTCCTGAAACTTATCATAGAGAGATTGCTTTCTTTTTACTTATCTGTCTCCCAAGAGACAACTGGGGTGTATTTACCAAGGTACTTGGAGCTTAAAGGCTCTGTGTGTGCTAAAAACGGCCCGTGAAACCCAGCATCATCATTACAAGTTTTTTCCAGCTAGAGCGAGCACTAGATTGCAAAGAGGAGAGGGGGCTGCCAAATCACAGCTGCTTAACTGAGCATAACCCTTCACGCCTCATTCCTCCCTATCTGCTCAAGAACACGTTAGGAGTATGTGCCTGCTGCCATGCACTCTCTGTTTATCAAGAACGCTTCCGAAAATAACTCTCTTCTACTCTCAAAAAAAAAGTTTACATCCCAAAAACTTTCAGGAGTGAATTCCACAGACAAAATGTTGGACTACAAAATTTCCTCTTGATCCCCAACATAAACTTCCATCTCTTCACCTCTTCTCTGCCACATGCAACAGTTTTCTGGCTCTTCTTAGCCCATGGATCAGATACCTAAATATTACCTTTGTTTCCTCGCCTTTCAAAACACTGCCTGGAAACAGAGGGAGATGCTGACCCTGTAGCTACAACCTGCGTCGCTGGTGAGCTGGTGAGTTACTGCACAGAGCTGCTGCCATCTGGAGCTTCAGAGAGGATTAATTTGGGCAGTGCCTGGGGCCTTCTTCTCTCATGTGACCTTACCAAGGAGCTTCTGCAGCACCTGCCCATCGTAAAGGTCTTCTTCAAGCTGTTTAACAATGATTCTCTCCTCTACCAGCACATCGTTTATCCAGTCAATTAGAACCTGGAAGTGCAGAAACAGGGGATAAATGTCTAAAATAAACACCAAAGTTCATTCCTTTTATGCCATGCAACAATCAGGAATAGAGAACAGAGCAAGGTTTACCACATTTATGTCTTGCCAGCTCACAGAACAATAACAGTGAAAAGATGCTGCTGCTTTTGCTGCTTTTCATTCAGGTCGTGGAAGAGATGAAGTTTAGTGCCTATTTATCCTCATTAAAACACATCAATTCTAAAACAAGTAGCAAGCAGTGACTCTGCAGAAACTTTCCTTGCTGGTATCTGCTTACCCCCAGTCCCAAATATCAGGTCTTACCTGTTTTTCCTTTCAGAAAGGAAAGCACCTCTACGAGCACGAGCTAAGCAGATCCTGCTGGATCCCTGTCACTCCGCAGCAGGACAAGGTATTTTGGGTTAGAGCTACTACCTAACAGAGGAGTCTGGAATTAAGGTTTTGGTCGCTTGGGCCTAACAGCCATTCTGCAACATGTGTGAGAGCTTGAGAGTCCCCTACGTTGGCTAGCACAACTACAGAAGTCATACAGTTGCCTACAAAACAGAAGTGAACATAAAGACTCTTCAAAAATAAATAAATAGATAAAAAATGAACTGATGCTTTCCAGGTGCTAAAGACGGTAATTTCCAGACTGCTACAGGAAGAACAGTGCTGACAGTTGGCAGCAGCATTTCCTCCCAATTTAGTATTTGGAAAATTAAAGAACTTTTGCAAAAATAATATGGTTCCGTGGGAAGCGATTTAATGTGTTCCTGCTATAAATCCCACATTACAAAAAGGGAGCATAGAATTGCCAATCAGAGACATGCTAAATCCATTAGCTGGAGCCACCAGAAGTCATGAGCCCAAATTAAAAACTGTAAGGTTTTTAATTTACTTCACATGAAATTGTGGAGTCTTTAGATTCACTTCCTGCTCAAATCCCATATTTCTGCCTCTACTTGGCAGGCACAATGGCTAAGAACTCCTTTTTTTGTAGTAGTAGTAATAGTAGTATTGAAGAAATTACGAAACAAAAACAAAATACAGACAGCCTTCCACTGGAAAACACATGCTTTGGCAATTGTAGGAGACACGAACGCTCAAATACACTGTTTGCAAGGACGTTTAACTAATCCGGCCCAGCTACCCAGTTTCATGGAATCCACCAAGCTGCAGAAAGTTTTGCCAGGCTTAACGTCCCCAGTGAAGTTCACGCTTCAAAACCAGATGGCTCCTGCTCTGTTGTCTTGTGTACCTTTAACCTGCACTGCCAGCACCTCCAAAGCTCTCTGAAAAGGAGCAGGGCTAAAATTCAGCTAAAAATAGCACACAAGTGGCAAATTTTAGCTGGGAGATAATGGCAGCCACTCAGCTCCGGGAGGGCAAAGATGAGATCCAAGGCACGCATATCCAAATGCTTTTTTCCTTCTGAACTTCCCAGTGGGAAAATCTCAGAAAGGAAAAAACGAGTCCTTTAAAGAGCTTCCTTTCGGTACAAAACCTTTTTGACAAGGTATCCAAGTTTGGCAGAACATCATCTTCTCCGGAGGAGGGAAAGGGCAGGCTGAGGAGATGCTCAAAAGGAGCAGGGAGCTGAGGACGCGCTCGGCAGCCCTTGAGCCACCCGCCATCCCTCCCTGTCACCTGCTGCTTCTCTCTCCTTCTCCCACCTCATGCTCCCCAGCTGCTCTTCTCCCTTTTCAGTCTTTCTCAGGGGACAGAGGGACTGTCCCCTCCGGTAACAGGCTGCAGGGAAGACATCTCAGGGAGATTTTAAGCCAGCCAAGGGCTGCAGGGCTCAAAGACAGAGGGATGAGCGGCACCGTCTTTGTCCTTGAAGACTCTTCACAAGTGATGCAGAGAAGCAATTCTTCATTAACAAGATACTTTCTTATGCCAAATCATCTAAAAATAGATTTTTGAAGCCTGTCGATAAGGTGAGTGTGAAGTTCCCAAAAGACAGGAGCTTGATACAAATGGGCATCAATAGGGAAGAATTGAAGAAATCAAAGCCATAGAAGATTTGAGTCATCCATGAGATTTACAACAAAGATTTCCCCAAAAACAAACAAACAAAAACTCAAGTTAAGCTGAAATTATAATTTGAAATTAGACACTAGCTAAGTCCTTACATGAAGCGGCCAGATTTCCAGAAGTGCTCAGTAGCCTTGTTAAAGGAAGACTCCCAGCACTCAAGGCTTTCGAAACCTGCAAATAACATTTTATATCCTTTTTCCGTTACTGAATGGTACTGAAGTTTGAATCGAGAAAATGCCAACGCGAAATAAAAACTAGAAAATAGCTCTTTAATGTAGGAGCTAACATCCCTTTTTAATTCGTTCAGCTTTCGCAAAAGGTGCAAAGCGACATCATGCAGGTTTATTTAAACAACTAACACAGAGAAATAACTTCTGACTCGTGTCTTGTGGAAGGACAACGCTGGTTCTTTGTCGCTGCTCCTTTCTGCAAAGATGGGAGCAGAAGACATTCAAAACCTGAGTGCCTAAGAAGTTAAACAGCTTGCGATGCTGGCGCAGACTATTTGGTGGGAAGCAGACATAAACTGCAGCCAGGCAGTTACTGCCACGCATGCAAATATGCTTAATTTGGACCTGCCAAATCTCACACTCCTCACCCCGTTTCTCCACTTCTGCACCTGCACCTCGCACCTCTGCGGCTTGGGGCTACCTTTAATGTCAGGGCAATGTTTGGTGCTTAAAATGAGGGGTGCTGCCCAGCTGCAGCGGGTCCCGCGTGCCCCTCAGGATCCCTCATGTGCAGCCTGTGTTCCCAGCGCGTCCGTGGGCCGCGTTTCTGAGCGGCACGTGGGCACTCGAGGTGCCGGTCCCGGCACGCCGCCGCATCGGGCCCCGGCACAAAGCCACTTCTTTAGGAAGCCTTCTGCAGCTGGAGAATAAGCTGTCGTTTTAACAGTTTAATATCACATCCTCATGTCTTCAGTATCAGGCCTGTCCCTTCATGAGCATCCACACCCAGAGGAAAAAAAAACAACAAAAAATAAACCCCCCAAACCATGAATTAGAATCATAGAATCATAGAATCATAGAATGCCGAAGGTTGGAAGGGACCTCAGAGGTCATCGAGTCCAACCCCCCTGCTCACGCAGGGTCACCTAGAGCACGTGGCACAGGGC